TTTTCTAACTAGTTAAAAATTTTGACATTATTGATAAGAAAAATATATTTTTATCGCATCTCTTTGAGACAAAATACTCTTAATGAGCTCATTATTATTTTTATTAGTTTGCATTACAGTAAATTAAGTTTTTGTTGTACCATATATAAGTAACACCTTTTAAATGAAATAAAATGAAATGGGGTTTAACGTCTTACTGTTCTGCTCCTATACTGGGCTAATGAAGACGGGCATACGCCATACAGTGTGCTATGAGGGAAATATATCGAATTCCAACTGCCAAGGGATCTTTTACGTGCATTCTAATGTATACATGGGACCTCGGGTTTTCGTCTCATCCGAAGGACTAGACAGCTGTCCTTGTCAGGCCCTCCGTTCTGCACCACTGACAAGGGGAAACCACGTCGGAAAATCAGGATGAACTTTCTCGGCCAATGCAGGGATCGAACACCCGACCTCCAGGCTAGCGAGCCAGCGTCTTAACCACCTAGCCACTGTGGCTCCCCAAACACCTTTTAAGATCTGAAATAAGCAAACTCACTTCCATAGCATTTGGATAGATCCCCCGCCCCCTCTAAAAATATTAAACCCGAAACTAAAAAACAAAATAACATACTAATAAGAAATACCCATGCGTAATGAAATAAAAAAAAAAAACAAGGAAGAAAAGGAATAAAAAAAAAAATCCCTCCCCTTAACAAAACAAAAAAGGCAAAACAAGCCGAAAAACTCTAAAAAAATAATCCCCCCCACCCACACACAAACCCACTCAGAAAAGGGAACGAAGAAAAACTACCAAAAACCAACAAGAATGATATAAAAAAGCCATACCTAATAAGACCATAACCATCCGACTCTCAGGGGGTTGGATGGCTGAATGGTTAGCGTGCGCGCGCTGTATCATAAAGTCTGTCATTGAGTCGACTGGCGTGGTTTCGAATCCCCGGTTGTACGTGGCAAGGAGTTGGGTCGCCTGTCCAACCTCGTGGGTTTTCTCCGAGTCCTCCGGTTTCCTCCCACTGCTAAAGAGCCCTACGCGCAAGCGAATTATGTAAATAAAATTAAACCATATGTTAGTCTCGAAATGACCTAGTTTGTGTCGAGTGGACGTTAAACCCCATTTCTCTCTCTCTCTCTCTCTCCATCCGACTCTCGTTCGCTCTATTTGGAACTGGATTCTCCCAAAACACACCACCTCACATCAACATCAACACGGGGGTTTGGATGGCCGAATGGTTAGCACGTATCATAAAGCCTGTCATTGAGTCAACTGGCGTGGTTTCGAATCCCCGGTTGTACGTGACAAGGAGTAGGGTCGCCTGTCCAATCTCGTGGGTTTTCTCCAGGTAGTCCGGTTTCCTCCCACTGCTAAAGACCCCTACGCGCAAGCGAATTATTGAAATAAAATTAAAAACCATATGTTAGTCCCGAAATGACCTAGTTTGTGTCGAGTGGACGTTAAACCCCATTTCTCTTTCTCTCTCAACATCAACACACCCCACCCCACCCACCCTCGTTCTTTTTATTTGGATTAATAGTTTCGTTATTACAAAACCCAACGTAACTTGATGATAGTTAAAAGCTACTTAATTTTCTGGTTGATTCTAATTAAATTAGTTTTCATCAATCAGTTTCTCTTTATCTCACCGATCAAAAAAAAAATAATGAAAGCATGGCAAACATTTCAAACATGTCTGTGCTTTCTGACAGGACAATAAAGTTTCAGTTATCTTTCATGTATATCAGTTTTTGATAAATCTATTTTTTTTTTAAAAAAAAGTCAAACAGTACTTTCAAATTAAAGCGAACAGCAAAAAAAGAGTTCCGCAAGATTTACCGAAAAAAAATCATCGCCACGCATTAAAAGAACATATTTATATCAAAAGGTATCTTGATTTAATTTATGTTTCATGCTTATCATAGTTCTCCACATCAAACATAAAACGGACGTGGAGGTTTATATGATCTTTTAAAAAAAAGCTAGTTATTTGATGATATTTGAAATAATGAAATAAGCATTAGGGTTTTTTTTTACTTCAAGAATTATCAGTACTATAATTTGTTTTGTAGATGCTTGTTTCATGTTTTCACGTTGGATGGCTGACATACATGAAGGTTTTTAAGATCTTTTATTTAAAGAGAGCAGATAATTTGAGGGTGGTTTTTTTTTGAACAAAACATTAGTAGTTTCTCATCGTTTGCTTTTGCTTGATAATTTATAAATTCTATACGCCAAATGTGGTTTATATGGGAATTTGGCCCAGAGAGCGGTCAACTCTTCATCGAATTCCCAAATCATAAATATCCACCAAAACCTGACAGAAAATATAAATTCAAACACTTTTCTCAATTCTAGGATAAAAAGTCAACAAAATTTCCCAAAAGGTGAAATAAAAAAAGAATTGCTATAAATAGACAAAGTGCATTCGCGTGTACAGACTTAATCGATATACACGTATCTTAATCAAATTAATTAGTGGTGGCTGATTAAGACACTGACTCGCTAACCATAGGAGGTCTCGGGTTCGCTTCCGGTGTAGGCCGAACAAGCCGCCCAACACAATTTTCCGGAGTCGTGTCCCCTTGTTAGTGGGAATGATAGAGAGTCTGGCAAGGAACAGTGTCCAGTCGTTCGTCTGAGACCCCAAAAACCGAGGTTCTGTGTACACATTAGCGTGCACGTTAAATAACCCTTGACAGTTGGAATTCATTAGCCCCGTCGGTGCAGAACAGCAAGACATTAATAAAGTCCATTTGATTTCTTTTCATTTAATTTAATCAGAGGTCCGAGTCCCATTTTCAAATTTGGTTATATCGCAGATCTCTAGAGTTTATATATTGCTTTTTAAAACCTATATAATGGCCAAATACCTAGAAGAAGGTTGGACATTGCCGATTTAATCGAAGACTATATATGCTAATGACCAATAAATACCGTAGTATATTATACTTTGACCTCGCCTTGACCTTTAATTATCGTGTATTAAGAGTCACTGAGTTCTATATTCGCACCATTAGAATGAATTATAGATTCCTTAAGTAGATGGTATACGGAAAATGTATTGTTTCATTTTGAAATAACATTTGCATAAGATATGATCTATATAAGAAGTTTTTATCAAGGCGAGATATGAAAGAGTTCTTATAATAAATGTTGACCGTTTATTTGTTATCTGGAAATATCTCAATTCTTTCGAATTAAAAAGACAAATTTCCCCTTTCTCTAAAACGTACGCACTAAGTGTAACTCGAATATGAAGTGGAAAGGCATACTACTTTTCTGCACCAACCATACATCATTAAGCCTGATATGGGGGAATTTAACTAAGGCAGCGGCGTTTCCGCATACGCTTTCTCGAATTTAAACAGCCAACTGTTATGTTACGTGCACTGCCAAATAAGGGAGTCGGTAAAATAAAATCTCTCTAAATAGGGTGGTATACTAAAATCTAATTCTCCATTCTCACCACGCAACAGATTCAGACCACGCCTACACACGTGTTCATGAATTTAAAATTCATTACCTTTCAATGGATGCATTAAAATAAACACTTTACTTTTCTTTGATATTATAATTCATTCTTCCTCCAATTAACACAGATACAACTTCTTACCTACATCCCACTTGTCAGTGATGCAGGACGGAGAGCCTAACAAGGACAGCTGTCTAGTCGTTCGGATGGGACGAAAAAACGAGGTCCCGTGTACACATTGGCGTGCACGTAAAAATCCCTTGACAGTTGGAATTCGATATAAGAGTAGGCCGTAGTGCCACTGTCCAGGCAAAATTGCCCTCAAAGCACATTGTATGGCGTATGCCCGGCTTCATTAGCCCAGTTCGGAGCAGAACAGTAGGACGTTAAACCCCATTTCATTTCATTTCATTTCAACACGTGCTTTTCTTTGATATCATAATTCATTCTTACTCCATTTAACACTAATGCACCATCTACATGTATAGCACATGCGTTCTAACTATGAATGAAAAGACTCTTGAAAATTCCTTATTTCAATCTCAAACCATTAATCGATATTGCCGTTTTCGATATACACAAATACTACTGTAGAACACGCGTTTTAACTGTGAATGAAAAGACCATATCTTTTACAAGGCTCTGCATAGAGAACTCTGTATTACCATAAATTATAAACATATGTAAAAACCTGTAATTGAATACGTGCACATGAATATCAAACCGCAAGTAATAATCACTTAATAGAAACCGTAACCGCAATTTTATTACAATTTGTTTCACGGATAGAATAGACGCTCTGTGTGTATATAAACTATCAGATCTGCCTTGTGTGTTGTTGATAGAGCATCGGAATGTATTTACCGTTATATTTCTACATTTAATCGTACCGGCCATCAATTGAGTGTATGAATGTAGCTAGTATTTCATGCAACGCTGCCTCTTGTACATTGTCTCTATAACATTCCATTTAGAAGCGTGAGATCTGGAATTCCAGGAAAAGTGTGCGATTTGGAAGACACGTCTGCGGACTAAAGGAACGTATGGCGTCATAGCGCACGAGATTAGTGGAAGCAGTGTAGATGATGATATTAAATGGATGGAGGAACACATGTATATACCAGTGGTATTTATCGGTTGATAGGAGTCAGCTTGTTTACTTGTTGAGTTCTGGCTATTTCTGTTCTTAACTCCCACCATCAGCGATCAAGCTGGTATTGGAAGTTATATATAAATCATTTTGCGAGTCGGTCAGCGTATCATTTCGTTTTATTAACATCTATAGTTCGGGCGGTGAATAACAATCCGGAATATTTTTTCTTTATTTCGCTAAGTATCCACGGTGAAGTGAAGTCAAATTTTAGCTTTTAAACAAAACCAAGGGGAGTCAACTCTGTGAACAATGTAAATCAAAAGTTAAACATTGTTTAAACTGTTACGGTATTCAGTGAGTTTTTACTTCATCGTTACAGACTAACCGGAGACAGTCTTAAATAATGTCTTAACCGTAACGGCATAGAGGTTTACTTAACGGTTTTAGTTCTCTTTGATAGAGAACGTCTCGTGAAGACAATCCTTGCACATGTTTCTATGTCAACAGAACGTCTGAGTGCTGCTTCTGTCTACTATTTCAAGATAATTGGATACGTGTTAATGATCTAACAAGGTTTAGCAGACATACAGATCAGCTGACTGCCGTGTAACGGTTGCATATTAATTCATGTATCGGTGGCATCTATAAGTGAACCATCCCGTACTCAGGAGTGACTGCCCGAACCATTTGGAAATTTCGTGATCGCTGATGAGTGGTTTTTTTTTAATTAACAAACAGGTAAGGCTTATTATAAAATATTCTGAAAACTATAGGACTGGCTATAAGCACGTGTTGATTTAAGAACACTGTTTTATTTGTATATGGTAAGCTTCGATCGCATTCTGTTCATATGCTCTGTATATAACTTGCTAGGCTAACAAAGTTTTGCTATAATGGAATGAAATGAAATGGGGTTTAGCGCCCTACTGTTCTGCTCCGAACTGGGCTAATGAAGACGGGCATACGCCATACAGTGTGCTATGAATGAGGGAAACTTTGGCCGGACAGCGGTACTACGACCTACTCTTATATCGAATTCGAACTGTCGAGGAATCTTTTACGTGCTCGTCTATGTGTACACGGGACCTCGGTTTTTCGTTCCATCCGAACGACTAGACAGCTGTCCTTGTCAGGCCCTCCGTCCTGCATCACTGACAAGGGGGAACCACGCCGGAAAATCTGGATGAACTTTCTCGGTCAATGCAGGTTTTGCTGTATTTATGTATATAAATCGCTGGGCTGATGACCTATGCCACCCGGTGGTTTCTTTTTCTGACATGTGTCGTGCATGAAATAGTGTATGATATTTACTTATAGAATACCCCGATATCGTTTCTCAAACTGAGAAGTTCACACGGCCTAGGGTGTATGGTAGTAGAACAGTCTAACGCGCTCGCCTTAGATCATAATATAAGGTTTGTCAACTCAAGAGGCAGAGAGTTTCGATCCCCTACATAACACAGAGTAATGTAAACTTCCAACCACAACGTGCGTTCATGGGGGTTGAGTCCGTGTCTACCAATGGGGATATCGCAGACAATTTTTACCTAAAAACTTCGCCACAGGAGCGGAATTAGAAGATCTCCCTCCCTCTGAAATGTCCCCTTAGTGAGACTATGACCGAATAATGTTGGTCTTATGCTGTGTATATGTCCTGACGAGTACGGCATTACAAGATATCTCTCTCTCTCTCTCTCTCTCTCTCTCTCCATTCCAATCCTACCTAGGGGGTATCGTACACAAATGGTTCCTAAGTCCTGTTTGAGTCATATTTTTATACTAAATAAAGAAATATGCATTTAGTGGTATCGTACACAAATGGTTCCTAAGACATATTTGTATACTAAATTAAGAGATATGTACATGTATCTATAAGTATAATACGTGTGTAGATGTACAAATAAGTATTATTGATATATGATATGTTACATGTAATATAATTAGTTGTCCATTTATGTCAGCCATATGTTTACATGATAAATATGTGTTTGTTTAATCCATATGTAAAATGCATCTATAACGATAATAACACGTGCATTATTCATAAGGGCTATCATATTACTGTTACTTTAATAAAGGTACTCAGGAGAGGGTGAGGGAAATGGGGTTTAACGTCAACTCGACACAAACTAGGTCATTTCTGGCGTAACACATGGTTGAACTTTATTTCAATACTTGGCTTGCGCGTAGGGGTCTTTATTAGTGACTCCATGACAAACCTTATGATACAGCGCGCACGCGCTAACCATTCGGCCACCCAACCCCCCTCTTTAATAAAGCTACCCAGGTCGCAATTCTATGGAAAACGGTTACTGTTCATTACTGGACGACGTTTCGACTAGGATTCTATAGTCTCGCGCCTGTCAAACCTCGTGGGTTTTCCTGAGGTCAACTGTTAAAATCATCTACGCCCATGCGAATTATTGAAATTAAATTGATCCATATGTTAGTCCCGAAATTACCTAGTGTGTGTCGAGATGTATATGGATTTGAACACCGGCGAGATTTAACAATATAATGATAAAATGGATAATCGAGACTTTAAAAATCCCCCATGTCGTTCCATTATATTCTATTGTATTGTCGGCATAGGCACCCTTGGCAGTTGGAATTTAGTTTAGTTTAAACAATATTTTATTCATTTGAAAAGGATTGAACAACAGGCAAAGCCTATATAAGTTCTTTCCCAGGGATACAGAAAATAATAAACGATAAATATAAACATACACATAAAAATAAGATTAAATATAATAAATTATAAAACCGAACATATAAACAGTTCCATGTGGAAATGATATATACGAAATATAGTTGATGCAATTATTTGATATAATACAACAATATGTAAAAGCGAATCAAAACCTTTTGGTACTTTTAATAGAATAATGGACTGCTTTAAAAATCATGATATTGGACGTGTTCGAAAGATCTGTAGAGTCATTTAAAATTAAATATAGATTAATAGTTTCTGTGAATACCTTTAATGAATTTAATAGTTCGATTATGATAGCCGAATAACGTGGACAAGAGAAGACAAAGTGGAACTTATCTTCATCCGAAGAATTGCATTTTGGTCATTTTTTTGATTCAGATAGGTAGTGGCGGAAAAGATGATTTAACGAATAGCAGTCTCAAAATGTCGAAAAGCATCCCCGATATTATTCCATTTCGGTGTAGGAGCCACGGTGGCTCAGTGAGTAAGACGCTGGCTCTCTAACGTTGTCTGAAAAAGTTCATCGGGATTTTCCGACGTGGTTCCTTCTTGTCAGTTGCGCAGGACCCGGATGGGAAGAAAAAATCGAGGTCCTGTGTACACATTGGCGTGCACGTAAAAGATCCCTTGACAGATGGAATTCGATATAAGAGAACGTAGGCCGTAGTGCCGCTGTCCGGGAAGCAAAATTTCTCTCATAGCACACCGCATGGCGTATGTCCGTCTTCATTAGTCCAGTCGGAGCACAACAGTAGGACGTTAAACCCCATTTTATTTCATCCCGTTGTATTGTTGTGTTTGTAAAATAACCCTTGGCAGTGTAATTCGATATAAGAGTCGGCCGTTGTGCCGCTTTCCGGGCAAAATTTTCCTCATAGCACACTGTATGGCGTATGCCCGTCTTCATTAGCTCAACCGGGAGCAGAACAGTAGGACGTTAAACCCCATTTCATTTCTACTGTTTTGTCGATTCAAATTCCTTGATATGATAATATTATAGGTATATCTGGTTTGAGAACATTCGTATTGAAATGTTATATTTACAACCAAGTCTATCTTTGTTTATTCTAATACACACGCGGGATAATAAAGATGAAAGAGGTTACCATGTAAACGTAATGCACGTGCAGTGATAGATGTGGTATATAGAACAGGTGGTAGAATATACCTACATATATAATGTAAACAAAATAACCAACCTTTTAGTTTTCACCTGTAAATATTTGATGCTACGATAAAATTGTGTACTTTGGTGTTGTTTTTTTTTATAACTAGTGCCTACTAAAATAGAACTCCTATGATGAATCACGTTAAATTTGATGTTAAAATGAAATCAGGTTTTCTACTAGAAATACAGTCTTTTTGAATCACGATATAATTGTTATGTACAAACGCGAGTTTCAAAATAACTGCAGAATACAAAAAATGGCATTAGATAAGATTAAAGGTACATTATTGGAGATAAGATAAAGAGATGGCAGTTCTCGCTATAATAGTTAAAAACTAGATAGTGTAAAGGTAATTTGCTGAAAATTTCAGTCAAATTGATCCACTATGAGCCGAGAACGAACCGGGTAAAATTTTCGCATAGTCTCCGTCATCATTACTAAAATCGTTAATATAAACAGCATAGTCTCGATTATCCACTGTTTTGATTTAATTATCAATGGCCGTTAAGCGGCATATAGGAATCTAATCCAGCCAACATCGAAGGCTAGCCTTGACATCAAGAGTTTATTATGGTCTGGATAAGTTAATTAATGTCTAATTGATAATTTAGATAACATTTCAGGCCTAAAGAAAGACTTGTAATAAGCAGATTTTGCTCTTGCACAATGCATGTTTAAATAAAGAGCTGACAGTTCTCGCTATCGTAGTTAATCAATAGATAATGAAAAGAGATTATGCTGAAAATTTCAGTCAAATTACTTCACGCTGAGCCTAGATATCGGCGATACAATTATAGTCTAGCCTTGATTGTCATTACTACTGTTGTTTCGATAATAAACAAAGTCTCCATTATCCAGTTTAACGGTAACCGCATCGACCATAAAATATATTTAAATCTACTTATATCGCAGCTTTCCGATGGCACCGAGAGTTGAATATGGTCTTGGTAAGTTAATAGATATCTAATTAATACTTTATATAACATTTAAGACATACAGAAAGACCTGCACTTTTTGGATTTGGCTCTGCGTTTGTAACAAAACGGAAACGTAATCTTATTATTATCATGGAGATATTGGAGTATATAAGTACAACATCATATTGTCAGTTATCGGCTTAAGGCTCTCTTCTTATAATATACTGTATTATATTTATATCCCAAAACCAATTTATTAAAGCGATAATTTCATATTTTTAAGTTATATTTTTAAAATGTATTAAATTAAAGCCTTAAAAAAAGATGGTATCTATAAACAGTCCTACTTTGTTAAAGAATAATCCTATAATTCACTATTACCAGTTGAGAAATTGGCAAAAATATCATTTTCAACTTCAAATTCAAATTTTTGAAGATAGCAATTCCATGGGGGGGGGGGGGATAGAAAAACAAGGGGGGTAATTGTGTTATTATTTCCGGGGTGAATGATATTTTAAGCCCGAGAATGATACCTATGATCGTATAATAGTGAGTTGACAACCTATTGAGCAAAAGACAGAAATAATTATGTTTTGACTTTCTTAGAAAATATGAAATTCTCGCTTGTTAAAACTATCCATCAATATAATATACACTAAATTCTGTATACATGTAATCAATATAATATACACTAAATTCTGTATACATGTAATCAATATATTATACAGTAAATTCTGAATAATTGCTTGAAAAAATCACTAAGAATATAATGTTCGAACATTATTTGTATCTATAGATCTTATGATCTGCTTACTGAATAAATAAATTATTATAAATAGCTATGGCCAACTTTCATAATTAATTTCGACAGACATAGACTAAAATTAAAACACTTATATGGATGTACTACTTCTGAATTGTATTAAAGGAGCTAAATCG